CATACAGGACCCCTTTTATAGAATGGTGGAGCACCAAATGGGCATTAGTGAGGGGGAAGGGAGTGGAGTGGGGAGGGTTTTGGGCCCGTTCTAATAGGGTATGTAGATGATACTACTGTTCTGGTTAGGGAGGGGATGTCAATGAACGCCTTAGATGGGGTAGTCGACACGTTCGCACGTGCAACTGGTATGAGAGTGAATTCAGAGAAGTCCATGGTCATGGGGTTAGGAGCTTGGGTGGGGAGGGTTGAGTGGGGTAGTGCAGTTGTGACGAAGCGGGTGATGTCATTAAAAATTTGTGGTATTATCTATGCAGATGATCTCGATGTTGCACGTGCGGACAACTCGGTCAGGTTGGTAGACAGGATTCGGGGTCGCTTGGGAGCATTGCGGCCTTATCATTTGACCCTTGTGCAGCGTGCCATTGTAATTAACGTCTTATTGTATAGTAAGGTTTGGCACGTGGCAGCCGTGTTCCCTTTAACTGGGACGGCAATTGCAAATATACTTAGAGGGGTTTTTAAATTTTTGTGGGGTTCAGGCTGTGATTGGCTTAAAAGGGATGTGGTAATGTTACCTGTGCGTCAGGGGGGGTTGGGTTTAATGAATTTAAAGCGGAGGGTCAAATGTATCTTCATTAAAAGGGAGGTGATGAGGGAGGGTGTGGGTGGGGGGGTTGGTCAAGATACACAGTAGATTGAAACATGTTTTCTGGAGTAGAGTTGCGTGAGTGTGAAACTATTTTGAGGGCAGTGGTGTTGGTTAGGGATCTGGGTAAGGTAAAAATAAGTAGGCTGTGTAGGATGTTAGTGGAGAGGGTTGTGGCACCGGTGGAGGGGATTTTCCCCATGTATGACTGGGGAAGTATATGGAGAAGGTTCAGTAGGTTAAGGTTACAACCCCGTGGGCGTGAGGTGATGTATCGTTTTATGCATGGGATTTTACCATCGGGAGTGGTTTTACGGCTAGAAAGGGTGGTTGATGGGGGGGGGGTCTGTGGAATATGTGGAGGGGAGGATTCTGCGTTCCACGTAGTGTATTTTTGTGAGGGGATGGGGAGCGTCAGGGGTTGGTTGAGAAGGGTGCTGCATAGGATAAGTGGTAAAAACTTTTCTGTTCTGCGGGCATTAAGTCTTGACGTGGGGGGTATGGATGAGAGTATTATTAGGGCTGTGGAGTACATTATGGTAGATTATGTGTACATAACGTGGGGAATGAGGGGGAAAGGGGTCAGTGAGGTGAAGAGGCGGGTATTGGGAGTTACGTTTTATAAAACGTTGTGCCGTAACAGAGAAATTTATGGGAGAAGGTGGGAGCGGGCTTTCACAGAGGGATATAGAGACCTAACATTAGAGGATTTATTAAATTTGTAAATCGGTGGGAGGGCAGGGTAGGAATGGTAAATGCTAATGTAGGATGGGCCTGTCAGGGTAAAACGGGGTCGCTCCTTGCATAATGGGGG